TATAGAATTCAAATAAAAAAATTTTATCAAATTTGGTTAGGTGGTTATTGAGATATCTTTGCTCAAAGTTTTAAAAATTTATTTTTGGGGGGTATGAATACCAGCCCCCTAAAAAAACCATTTTTTAAAGTTCTGAAAACCAAAAATTGATATCAAACAGGAAATTTTTTTTTAATTATTTAGCTATAGCAACATATGCAGTGTTATACGCAGATTTCGGTGAAAATGAACATTGTTTTACTTCTGTAAGTATTTAAAAATGCGCAGTGACATTTGACTTTATTATCGGACCGTTTTTATAAGCATTATTTTACTTACTGAAGGTAAGAGCATGGTACGCACAGAAAAAAAAAGATTTCTGGACTTTGAGCGAAAAAGAGATGCAAGACTTGAAAGAACAAAGAAAAATATAATCGTATTATATTTTATTAATTGAAAATTGAATTATTAAAATGAATAAAAATTTCTACATTATTATATTGAAAGCAATTCAAATTATTATGACCTCAAGTCAACGTAGTTTTTGTGCCAACCAAAAATCCAACGAAGCATTTATCTAACATTAAATCATAATTAACCCATGAATGAATGTTCACTGGTTTATAAGATTATAAAATTAATTCAGTAATGTCAATTAAAAAATATTTATATGTAAAATATACAATAACTTACTAAATAGTTTTGTTCCATCTTTCCCAGCTGCACGCATTAACTCTTTTTCACCTATTAGTTTATATTCTTTAGTTTGTTACTGATATTCGAAAAGATAATATAAATTTACGTACCTCCAGGATGAAATTTTAAATATGGAGTGATATTATATATTTTTCCGTTTATTGCAGTCCAAGCATCATTCTTCGACTTATGAAGTTTGAGTTCATCGAGAGTATATTTTCTTAGTTCTGAAACACCCTAAAAGAATAAAAACAAGGATCAGCATTACTTGGCATTAGTAGCTAGTGTTTGTAGTCGATAATTTTTATAAGCTTAGTCGAGCGATAATTAAACTTGGCTTAGTTGACTATTATCATATGCAGCATAGCGAATAAGCACTTACAGCTGTTCTTAATTCTGAAACAACTGATAAAGATTGATCGATGATTATTAAGCTGAATTTGATAAGTTTTGTTTTTTATGGCCAAGTTTTAATCATATTACAGGTTTGTCAAATGAATTATTTCGTGCAATTTTTAATGATTGATCTAAGTCTGCAAATGATTCTTGATATTTATTTACGTCGTTTTAATGCAAGTGCGTTATTTGGATCGATTTCTAATGATTTATTTAAATCTAAAAATGATTTTTATATTTTGAAAAATTTTCTCCACAATTTCTTAATCTATTTAAACCTGTAATTGTTTCATCGTATTTACATATTATAAGTTTCTCCACGGTTTC